AAACATATGTACAATTATTTAAGTTTTAACTTGTAACCATTAATTTCAAGGGCACTCACTGGCAGAAAAGACTCTTGACTTATCTCACGAAAAAGAAACTGGCTAAAAGTAAGAAAATCGAGCTTAGTTCTTTTCTTAAAACTGTTAGAAAATAATGTAGGAGTTTTTCTGTGTTTTCTATCAAAAGATTTACTTAATAAGAAAACAATTACTTTCAAGCCTAAGCTGCCATAAGTCATACGTCTCCTGCTGTGAATACCCTCAAGATATTTTAAAAACTATGCTTAAAATATAAACTCTAAATGAAGGAAACACAATAGTGGTACTTAGCCCCATGGTGCACAGTTAGCTTAAAAAGATAAGACGAGTAGTTTACAACATTTTTTTTACCCCCTCGCAATCAATCTAAACAGCCGAATTAATGACCGCTGTGCTGTTAATGCTAGTTGTTGGTCCAAACGCTGAGGTTGCAGATGTACTGGCTGTTGCCGTTATGCTGACAGCAGCCGCTGCTGCCGTTGTGCCACCATCCGGATAGCCGCCCGAGGCAGGTGCCGGCGACAATGACATTGTCGACGATGACGGCGATGAGCAATCACTTTGAACGCTCATCGTTGGTGAGGCGGCAACTAAATTGCTGCTGCTGCTCGTGTTGCTAATGGTTAACGGAAATTGTGATGGCGTGCCTGTGGGCGTGTGCGGCGACAGGGGCGTTAGCACGGAAGACGTTGTTGACACGGGACTGCCGATGCTGTTGGCGCTCGTTGTGATAGCTACAGTTACAGCTGCTGATGCGTTGCTATTGCTATTTGCTGTTGTGGGCGTCGCAGGGGTTGGTATGGCAACAGCTGATGAAGCCGTCGATTGCGGCGTTGTTGTTGACGGTGGCGACTGCTGCTGTTGATTGTTATTGCCGCCACTGGCGGCTGCTGCAGCAGCGGCACGCTCGCGCTCACGATCACGCTGCGGTCTGAAAGCTTCTCGCAGTGCCTCGACTCGGTTCTCATTAGGTCCCCAGCGTGCATAGCCGGCGCTATTCTGCAGCCAAACCACTTGAGTGCCCTGCATGCACTTAACGAGCACCTCAGATCTGTTGGAGTACATTGAATAATTAGATCAAATCACTCTGCAATTGAATATTTTATTGACCACTCACTTTTGCATCATATGCTGGTAGCCATGTCGGTATTCGTGCGCCATGCCCAGCACTACCATTGAGCGACGCTTGTACATGCTCTCCTCCAGCTTCGCTATGCTCTTCCACTCCGGCAGAAAGACAATGAAGCTGTGTTAATAATTACAAATATATTAGAACACATTTCAGAAAATTGATTTGGGAACGTAGGTTTTTTTCAGTTAGGGATAGCGAATACGATTCCATAGCTAACAACTTACCTCAATGGCTCCATGGAATCGGTTAGTAGCTTGTCAATGTGCAAAAGGCAGGCATCCATAAGCTCCTCGCAATGCGGTGGATTCACTTGGAAAGAACCGGAAACGGGCTTAAAGTCCAAAAATGGTCTACAGACAGAAAAAAGTGCAAGTTGACAATTAGATCATGATCACATAGCATTATGTATTTGTCCTCCATGATCACTTCATTCCAATTTCAAAACCTCCCTAATACTCCCGCAATAAAGTGACCATAAAGGACGCCATTAGATTGGCCATTCGAATTCTATTTTTGTTGACTTACCCTCTGGAACCAAAGTAGGCATCCGTATCCGCAAATGCCGAGCAATATTGCCGAAAATAGGAATTGAATGGCGATGCAAAGCATTCAAAGCTGACACCGAAATGCCTGTGAAGGCACTCAAAAACTGGCACTGGCAGAGCAGCCTGGGTCAGTTCCGCCTCCTGAGAGGAGTTGAGAGCATTGCCCAAGAAGGTCTGATAGCGCTTGAGCAGACACCAGACGCGCCCGATGAACAGATCAAACTTCTTGTCGTCAAAACAATTGTGACGATAGAGCTGCTCCAGCTTTTGGAGATAGGTGAGGTTGATATACTGCGCATCCGGCTGATTGATGGTCGCGGGAGTATACTTAATGATCATATGATCGCGATCCTGCAGATATTCAATGGCCGGCATACGAGGCGAGGGCACTGCGAACTGTATGGGATAGCACCAGACCTTCTTCAGGTGCGGGGGAGGCGGTGGCGGCGTTGGTTCCGGTATGCCATGCTCCTTGAGCAGCTGCAAATGGCGTTCCCGTATTTTACGCGCATGCTCCGCCGATAGATGATAGATTTTAATGCATAACGTTTCCACGGAACTTTTAACGGTCTCTACTAAATGCGGTTCACACTGGCGCTTCAGATGCGCCAAACGATCCTGGAAGTCCTCATAGCTGGCGCCCACCGTGCGGCGCAACCATTGAAATGTGTCCTCTACATTCCATTTAACAACCTTCTTGGACTCTGCCGGCGCAGAACGCGACTCGATGATCTGCTTGGCCGCCTCCGCGTAGCGTGAGAGCTGTTTGCGTGCGTCGCCCGTGAATTTGGGCTTAACAATCTTAATGGGTATATCGGCCATAATCTCGCGATACATGGAGCTGGAGATTTCAGGCAGGCAGTTACTGGGCAGCAATGGATCACACCCGGTATCAATGACCTTTCGTTCCATGAGCCAACGGTTAAAGGAGTCTCGCGGCGCTTTAATGTTTTCTCTGCGCATGCATAAATCCTCGTATGTCTTGAGCAGCTTCATGCTGAAGGCGGCGCGCAACGCTTCGATCTCTGGATGCGGCTGTGGTAGTAACGTAGGTGGACGCTCAACAATTACTGCATTGGTGCACACCTCCAGGTCCCAGGGTCCGGCTAGCACAAACTTTTTCAGAGGTGGCCCACCGTGCGGCCCCATGTGCTGCTGCTGTAGCTGTTGATGATGCGGGTGCGGGTGTATGTGCATGTCGTCTGAAGGCCGCCGCTTCAAATGATGATGTTGATGCTGTTGCTGATGCGGCGTCATCGGCGTTGGGCCACCAACGCCAACGCCACCAGCATGGCAAATGCCCAATGGATCGGTGAGCGGATCAAAGGGACGTGCGCCGGGCATTTCCCAAAGCGATTCGCCGGTAACCTTGTTCCAGTAGTACGGCCGATTTTCGCGCTTTGACCAAAATTTACGCCAGCCCTGATTCACCAATTCGGCGGTCAATTCCTCACCATATCCCCCAGGTCCAAGCGTTGGTGGTCCTTGCGGCGTATGGGCCATAGCCTCCAGCGTGGGCGGGACATGGTGTGTTTTCGTGGGCGTCGATGGTGACGAGCAGCTAGCCACAGGTGAACTACCTGCGCTCATCAAGTGTCCAGCTGCATCCACAGTACCCGTTGTTGTTACTGTTGCCGCTGTCGGCGATGGCGTCATATTGTTGGATGCACTCGCCGTCAGTTGATCCCAGGCACTTTGTGCGCTAGTGCTCGGCTGCATCATGGTACCCACTGAACCCGTGGAGGCGATCACCGATGGCGGCACCTGCAGCGCTCCCAGATTGTGCATGTTGCTGTTGTTAGCTGCCATTTGAGCTCTGCAAAAGCAAAAACAAAAACAAAACACAAGCACACAGACACATATACATTATTAACAGCTCTTGTTTACGTTTTTCAATCGCGAGAGGGAGAGCGAGAGAGTGCGCGCGAATGCGAGAGTGCCCGATGGTCTGACAAGCAGTAAAATACTTGGGCTCCAGCTTAACGGCAACTAGTCGGCAAGAAACACTCAGCGAAGCAGCAACGCAAGCCGGAGAGTACGCGCAAGTGTCAGAGCAGAAGGATCGTCATAAATATGACGCATCAATGTGTACGCATATATATATGTATTAATATGCCGTTATTATAAAGCTATGAGCACGCATTTGCTGCCCCCCATTCAATTCCCCTGAAAAACTCCCACATGCTGGAGCTTTTGGTCTGGCTGAGAGCGGCGCGCATGTGTTTTGTGAGCAACAAAGAGAGAACAACTGAGAGCGAGAGCCGCTATGACAGACACGAATGAGAAATCAAAACAAATTGCAAAAGAATAGAGATTTTCTGCCTGCTTGTGTATATGTTTTGACGAGCGTGTACCTAGCGTATGCGCACCGCACAAATAAAAATATACAAAAATTATTTGCAGGCAACTTTGTTGCTGCAATCCACATACACGCACACACACTAACGCCGATTGCATTACTTGCCATAAACAATTGCAATGACTTATAAAAAAATACACTAACAACATTCAAGTGCTGCTCTGTGGTTTCGTGCCTACGTCATGTCAGGCACAGAAATAATGGCGCGCTTTTTCCATCAAAACACACAACACACTAATTATAGCTAAAGAGAAAATTTTCATATAATTGATATTTTTATTTTCGTTATTTTGGTTGGCGCTTCGTTACATTTTGGCGCGCATACATAGAATTATGGCATTTGTCGATTATATAGATTTATAAACAACATTTGTGACTGCACCGAAAATTTCTCTACACTTTCTTTTCAACCACATCAATATAAACTACGCCTTGCTGCTGCTGTTTCGTATGGTCATATTTCGTACGCGTTTAAATGCCACTAAACTCACCTATTTTCAACTATCCTATTATACAAAATACGAACAACGTGTTTTCAAACATTTATAACGTATGTACGTAATTATTTGATACGATTTATTTATGTTTTATAAATAAATTCCTGAAAAACTCTTCTTCCAGAAGTACTTCACCAGCTAAGTGTGACCAATCGCCACAAATGTTGGCATAACTGGTGCCAGAAACCTATCGGAATTTTTGAATAATCAAAAATAAATTATAATCGTTTACTATAATAATAATTATTACGTGCAGTAATTATTAACGGCATTCTTCAATTCTATCATAATTTAACACTTCATTTTGAGAATAATAACTGGCGGACAGGTGCCTTTTTAACAATCGATAAGATAATGTACATGGGAACTTCTGAAAAATACCAGCACCAGTCATGTGCAGTATATGTATATATAAACACAAAAGTATCTTCGAAATACTAGTTATTTTAGGTTGAATTTTATTCAATCTGGATGGAGTTTTGGAATGTTTATCAACAATTTTTACATATATTTGTATCTAATTTGTTGCCTGTAATTTAAGGCAAATTTCTACACTTATATTGAGATCCGGCTTAAATCTGTTTATCAAACGTAACAAATTTAACTTTTTCGCATTGGAATTATTAGATTCCAATTCATACAATGTGGATAAATTCACTAGCAAACTTTCGTTCAATGATTTTTGCGGATTCAGATTGATTGCTCGCTCGTACAAGTTGATTGCATCTTTTAATTTGCCGGCATACAGCAAACATACGCCCATATTGTTCAGTATCATTGTATTGCCCGAGTCCAAATGCAGCGCCTTTTGAAAAATTAGATAGGCTTCCGGAAAATCATTTTTGGCCACGGCTATAAGGCCCTTGTCCACCAGATCACGCAAATCAGGCGGTGAATTACTATAAAACATATGAATATTGTATAAGATTGAAAATATCATATTATAAAATTGACTCACATCTCACGCAGTCGCCGGGAGACGGCAAATTTTTGCTCTGCCCCAAATATATCACCAATTTGTAGATAAATGCGGCCCCAAGCCGAATAAAGGGAGCGCTGTTCCTCTTTGCTAAGTGTAGAGCGTGTTAGCAGCATTCCGCCCATAATGTCATCAATCATGCTGAATTTTTTCATCTAAAAGAGAACAAAGTTATTTAACGAATCTTTTGTAGTTTAACTTAACCTTAACTCACTGACCATTAGAGCACAGTTGATAATTGACTGCAAGACGCGCTCGGCACGCCGCTGCCAAAATTCAGCTGCCTTTGCATTCTTTAATCTATCGAAATGCTCCTTGATTTCATGGCTGATCACATGCAATTCGGACAAGCGATCCAGCGCCAGATGCGGCTTGCCTAGATAGATGGGCAGTTCGGCCAACAGGAGCCGAAATGAGAAACACGCGATGGAGCCGTGCTTTCCTTTATACATCTCCGTGTAATACTCGTAAAATACATCCGGCCCGTTCAGCTGGGCAAAGGGTTCAGCTTCTGCCTGCAGTAGCTCATATTCGCCCAGCTTGGCCAGCAATGCGAGGCGTGTAAACCACAATTGCAGTGAATGTGGCGAATGCTTGGCTGGCTGACCGGCACGTCCATAGCCCTGACCGTATATGGTCAATAGTCGGCCCGTCAGATTGACAGCAGCGCGAAAGCAGCCGGCGTTTATAAGCGTCCGTATGCCACGCTCATCTTGCGTGACATCCTCCACTCCAAGGATTTTGCGCTGCTGCAATTCAGCTTGGCCCAAGTGTTGAGTCACAGCAATGCTTATGGGGTCAGGCTACGAGGGGTCAGCGTTAGATTTAGATACGTAGTTAAATATTTCATTATTTACCAAATCATTTGCTATGTGTAAGCCTGGAGTAATCAGATGTGCTGGCTGCTTGCCCGGCTCAGTTGGCGTGGGTAGCTGCCAGAGGTTTCGCACCTCGTCAGTTACTGTTATAGGCTCATCCGCTTCAGCAGCTTCTATGTACTCGGGCGGTTGAAAGCTGCCCGTAAATGTGCTGGCCAACATATTGCTGCTGTTTGGTTCAGCTGCGTTCGCTGGCTGCGTTTCCTTGGCTCTTGATTTGTTATTTGTCAGCTCATCAAAAAAACTGGGCGGATCGTTGGCGAAGTATTCGCTTAATCGACCGTTTGAGTTGTTTGTCATTCCGTGTTCAATGCGTTAATGTTTTTTCTCTTCTCTTTTAGCACCTGCCAAATAATCGAAAACGGAACCGATAACACACAAAAATCGATTTTTCGTATAATGAGGTCAACAGCTTAAGACTGGCTACGGCCACACTGAAAACGGGTAAGTTTTATTTGAATTTATTTAACAAGAAATTTAAAAATGTGCTTTAAAAAAAACTATTGAAATGCCAACGAAATTATTGGACACAATATAATTGATTTCTTAATGCAGTGATTTCAGTATATAATAATGAGGCCTTGTTTTGGCCTTAAAGAGAATGGAAGTGCTTAACTAATCGTAAATAATTTAATGTTTCTTATCGATATTTTATAATTTCACGATAGTTTGGTGAAACCGATTTTTTGAAAAGTGCTACCCAACCATGGAAAAAAACGTTAAAATTCGAATTTGCTTTCTTCTATATTTATTTATTGCAATTGCATTATTATTATTGTACAGTACATAAAGCAAATTAAAGTTTACTCTACAACTAGAAACATATCGTCATTTGATGACCCAAATATAACATTAAAATTTGTATTTACAAAGCAGCGCCCGCGCATTTCGATTCTACCACGCACACTACTGTCCATTGAATATAGATTCGGGATAATAGCTGGGGGCGTTGAACATGCGCGGGAATCTATTGGCATCCAATTGACCCACGGGCAGCATTAAATCACTGAAAGAAAATATACGTATATTTAAATAAGTGAATGTATGTGAATGTGTGTGTGTTTGTGTATATATATATATGTGTATGTGTTAGAGAGTGTATGCAATTTGACGCCCGTAAACGATCAAACACAGCGGGGAGTGCGGCAACAATTGAGGCACATGCTACACGCATGCGCTCAGTTCGGGCATCGGGGCACGTCAACGTTGGCGACCAGAGCCCGAAGAGGTCTATAAATATGCATAGGACCGTGCACAAGGAGCTGCAAAATTGGACATAAAACACGCTCAAGTGCCTTTTAGAAAAATGGCACCGGACCGCACTGAACTGGGACTGAAATTGGGAATGGGCTTGGGACGGGGCGGGCGACCGGGCAAACCGGCAAACGCAAGTGTTTTACGGTCACTTAAACGATTTTTTTTTAATGCCAATTTTGAAAACAATTGAGTTTCTTTCTTTCCTTTTTTTTTTTTTTTATTTAAGGAACATGCGCACTCTGAAGCGTTGAATGAATTGTTTTACGAGTTATGTGGAAAACATATTGTAATTAGTTTTGGGCGACATAGAAGAATAAAAAAAATAGTTCTATTTTCTTGTATGTTGAACTTACGTTCTTTGCTGCGGAGTGCGATCCCTTTGCCGGCGATTCTTAAACCAATTGGATACCTGCGTCAGTGTCAGGCCCGTCTTCTTGGCCAGCGTCTTCTTCTCGTCGGGCGTGGGATATCGGTTTGTCAGATAGCAATCCTTAAGGGCATTGCGTGACTTCTCTTTAAAGCAATAGACCGTCTCCTCGCCATCCCAAATTGTCTTGGGCAGTGGATACTTTTTGCGTAGTCGATATTTGTCCACAGCGCCCAAGGGACGGCCGCGCACCTTTTCCGCCTCCTTGTAGTGCGCCTTAAACCAGAGATTCTGCAAATCCACATGGTATTTCATTGAGAAACAGTGCGTCTCCAACAGGCTGTAGAGCTCATGAAACTGGCCCAGATTATAGGCGACCATGGCGCGGGCGCGCAGCACACTCTCATTGGTCTTAAAGAATTCGCTGGGCGGCAGGCTGCACAAGAAGTTGGTCAACTTTTCGATGTCACCCTTCTGCTGCAGTGCCTCGCACATGCACTGAATCTGCACGAGCGAAGAGCTACGATTATAAAACCGAAACATATGTCAAAGTGCGGCACTGGCTCACCTGATCCGTGGAGAACTGCAGCATTTTGGCATCGATCGGAAAACTGCCCACGGCGGACATGTTGTGTGCTGCAGTTAAATTGGATATCAGATGACCCCCACTGGACGCGCCAGTGCCACTCAACGTGGACGTCGGGGCGCGCTGCAGTCCCGCACAGAGTGCATCCGTTTTGGTATTGCCATTGAGATCGCTCAGACTGCTGTTGCCGTTCTCAAAGATGATGCTGTTCAGTGTGGGATAGTGTGTGGGCGTGGTTGCCGCTGTGGGCGGCGGCGATTTGTCATAGTCATTGGTGATGTCCTGAAAACGCCGCTCGATCAAATCCTTTTCGCTTGTCTCGTACGGCGCAAATTTATCCAATTGCAAAACGGTTTTACATGAAATGTTGCCGCGATAACCTAAGATAAAGCAAAATTCGAACATTCAACTAATTCCAATACTTTTAACAATATAGAATCTTAATCCTCAATGGTATTTTTCTCTAATTTTCTTTTCCTTATAAAAGAATTTTTGCTATAATTCATAAATCTGGCGCGTGTGAACATAATTGAAACATAAAAAAATTTTGTTAAATGTTTTGGTTTTTTTTTTATATGCACAACGAATATTGACGCAAGAGAGAATTCGGTCTCACGTGCTACTTTGCTGCTCAGCAATACTTTAGCTGCCCCCTCCCCCCGTCCACTCTACCCCCTGCTCCTTAGAAGACTCCCTTGAATCGGAGCAATCGAACCCCCCCCCACCGAAATTGCATGTGACTAATCAAATTCTGCACATGAGCAAAGCTCTCGGCGATTTTCGACACCTCAGACCTGAGACTTCAGACATGGCATGCAATATCATATTGACCAGAAAGAGACATAAGGCAAATGTATACAACGACATGTGATACATTCGCTTATATATGCATATATACATATGTATAGATCGGTAATCGCATAATTAATGCTATGTAAATATTATAAAACAATCGATTCAAAGTGTTTTTCATAGCCAGAAAGTACACCCAAGAATGTGAATAGCAAAGTTAATATGGAGTATTCGGACATATGAAAATATATTAAAAGTTTTAAACAATTTTCAATGTTGGCAAAATCTTAAGATTTGTTTTCGCCAATATTTAAGGCAATGTCTATGTTTTGTAACTCGAACTCTCGAATTTACTCTGAGAAAGTATTTAAATCTGCTGTTTAGACTTCTAATTCTAATTGCTAACAATTATTTTCAAATTCCATCAATACTCTAAAATCAGAGTTTATTTACGAATAGCTAGATATATATATATTACACTACATTTCCGAGCACATTCAGTGTCTAAAAAATGTGAAATCTTCAGCAAAAATCAATTAACAAGATCTCAGGCTTTAATTGTTTATGCAGCGCCTCATTGACGCCTGTTCCAAGTAATTTGATCTATATGTATATATATATATATATTTATTTAAGAGCTTGGCTAGCCAAACTGATAAGGCTTGGGCCATGGCTTACCAGCATTTGGCAGAAAGAGCGAGCCGTAGGCCATTGGCGAGCTTATGTTATCGTGCTGCACGGCCGAATGATCCGATGCTGTGCCGGCGGAGCTGGTCGAGTCCAAATCGCCGTTAATGGACACCGACAGATTTGTGCTATCCATATTTTTTTCAAACATATTTTAATGCTGAACCTTTACAGTTGCAGCAGCACTTTGAATTTTTCTTAATTCGGCACAATTATTTTTGTAAATTTTTAATCACAAAATGCGTAAAATTGTTTTAGTTTTAGCACGACAATTGATATTTGCGCGTAATAACAGTTTGTTCAAGTACAAATATTTATTGCAGATTAATAAATTTGTATTTTTGCTTGGCTTCCCGTTGTCAGCAACGCGACGCTTTCGCTTTTCAAACTCAACTGCAAGTGGCAGAGAGAGCGACAGCGGCGACGACGAGTGAACATGGAACTGCATTCAAGGCTGTGGCGATGTCTGTCTGCATGCTGCCTGAAACGTTTGGAAATGGAACATTGTAAAGTCGCCTGTTAGCTGCTTTGCCTGTGTGTTATGTAGCCGTATCTGTGCACGGGCCCGTGTGTGTGTGTGTGTGCGTGTGCGTGAGCGCGCTAATTAGGGGTGGCTTATTCGCATTGCCTTGTCCTGCAAGTGGGCGTTGCCTGGCCAAACCAGACGCCATTTTGAATTTGCCAATAACAGGCCAGATAAACTTGATTGCACGTACACATGTACAATGTGTATACGTGTGCGTGTGTGTGTGTGTGTGCGAATGTTATCTAACGTTTAACATGAAATTTAAATTGAAATAAAAAAAATCATGACCTCATTCGCTGCTGATGAGTATCTGATGAATGCCGTGTGCGATTCGTAGAATTTACATCAAATTTCTTTGGCATTGCTCAATGCTATTTTGTTAGAGTTTGCATATAAAATCAGTCTTTAAAGTCACCAAAACTCGCTGCAACTTGATGCCCCGCCGCAGCAGCAGGCAACAAAACTCAACAGAGAGACAGAGCTCTGATAAAGGGGCGCGCTGCAAAAAATGTGTTTGTTGCCGCCGTTGCTGCTGCTGCTGTTGCTGTCTTTGTTGCTGTCATCTAATGGCATCAAATTTCAATTACAGAATTGTTCCTGCCATTCACAAGCATTAAAATCAGAGTGCGCCACTTCAATGGTGTGATAAAATAGTGACATGACAAAGGTGACAACGGCAGCAAATCCACAAAAAGGCTAAACAATGGTTGCCAACAGCAGCAGCAGCATATTGTAGCTCTATATGTTTGTTGTTGTTGTTAGAAAAGAATTCATTAAGACTGAAATTAGGAGGGTTGACAATTTCGTCACAGTCTGTCCCAGTTTCAGGTCGCACGAGAGATTTCAATTTGTCACAGCTTCAGCTCGAACCTTAATTTTATAACATTGAGCGATCAATTTTAACAAGCGAGTGAATGAAAGAGAGAGAGAGGGGCACAGGTGCAGTAACTGTTATCGATAACAGAAGCGAAAAAGCTCTGAAGCTGTTAACATGATGCCTCCTCTAATTAGACACAAAAAGCCTTCAATGTTATTAGGCTAATTTCATTAGCCCAACAATCTAGGCCTGAGATTTGTGTGTCCTGCTGGCTGAACGTTGACATCGCGCCAGGTTATCGAAATCAATGATTACCCTGAGAGCAAGGATTACATAATTTAAAACAGCAGGCAGCTCTGGCAAATACGAGACAGTGGGCGTGTTTGGGGTGCGTGTTGCCCTCTAATTGACCGCAAAAAAAGGCTTGTAATCGCATTAGGCTAATATTGTTGATTTGATTATTACAATCACGTGTCAGGACTTAGCTGCCAAGCGATACCAAACCAAAAAGCTCGTGAGCCATGCGAAGCGCAGCGCTTCGATTCCCACACTATCATGTTTTGTCGAGCATAGCAGATTTTTGCCTGGGTTGGTGTCCGATTCACATTATATTGCAGGGCATGGGCAGCGCTAGAATGCAGCCAGCCGCATACAGAAAATGCATTTAACTGAGAATCGAGGATCTGTTGTCGTGGGATTTGGTGACTGTGATGCAATTTGTGCGTATAAGCAGTTTCTTCAATTTCCCAAAGAACCCAACCTAATGTCAAGATTAATTACACATTTTATGAACACTAGTCTAATGCTTCGGTGGCAGTAGCTACATTATGAAAATGCCTTCTTCTAACTGTGTCCACCTAATCTCTATATGTTATCTGACACCCTTTAGTACACAAATCCCTGGATTCATATTCAAAACGCTTTACGCATAACTTCTTATATAACCAATCTATTGTCATTTCTGTGTCCATTGTCATCTCTACCACAAATTGCTTAACTTCTGGGCAAAAAAAAAAAAGAAAAGACTAAAATTTAGCTAACGTCATGCTCAGATCCACGCAATCCTTACAGAGAACAACCTGTGCATTGTATAATCCCAGCCTAATAGCCCGGAAAATAGAGCAGCCAAAGCGACAAACCCACCAAACAGCTTAACAGCTGTAATCCCAAAATTCCCAACAAAACGTCTCCCTGTGCCTGGGCCTGTGTCTGGCCCATTCATGAAATGTCGTCACAATGTCTGATCTCAGTGTGCCAGGTCCCTTCAATCTTTATCTAGCCTTTGTCCGCTTGTCGATCGCACAATAATGGGCAAACACTCTGGCACTTTGTTTTGTGTGTGCGGGGGCTGGTCTATTGCGTCTGTGTAGGCAACCTGATTTTCGCACCTTGTCGTCAATTGTTCAATAGAAATATTGCTGGGAATTGGAAACGTATGTTAAGCGGCGCTGATTCGTGTATTTTTAGAGCAGCTGAAACAGGAAGAAAATCAAGACCAATTAATATTGTTCAGCTTTCAAAGCACAGCCACGAAACTATGTACCAATTAGTTACGGTAATCAATCAATGCACACGAATTTCCAACATATGCCAACATATATATTTTACAGCTAATTGGATGTACCGCCAAAAAGGGTTGTGCATCTGTGTGGGTGTGTGTGTGTGTGTGTGTGTGTGTGTGTGTGGGTGTTGCTCTTCCAATGCTCAATGAATGTGCGCTGTAAAACGATCCTTAGTCAGTGGTCTACACACACACACACACAAGCACACACACACACTCGCAGCACAACAATCTCATTAATTCTCATTAATGAAGCGACGCCGGGTCTCGGTGTCCATTTACCCAAATAACAAATAAAACTTTTCTACATTTACTACATAAACTATTTGTATACATTGGGAGCTTGAATTGTTTTTCTAGTATTCGTACACCTTTCATGCCCAAAGCATGGCCTATAATCATAATAGGCATAGAAGTGGGATGGGGTTACAGTTTTGCCTGGAATATTATTGTCCTCAATGTACCAGGATGTTCAAGGAAACTAGAGCAGCTAATCCATTGATAAATATCATTTTGTAGATCTTTTAAATTGATTTCGGGTTTTTAAAAATTCTTGGTAAATTGTCTGCAAAAGAAAGGCTCGTGATAAGGCTCATCTTTTATATGGAATTTTGCTCGGTCTGTAGTTTTTTTGCCTTGCTCTTGACTACTTTTTGTAACGCCTTCATTAGGCCAAGTCTTAAATTATTAGACATAAAAAACACTCTCAGGGGAGATAAGACTCATCTTTTATATGGAATTTTGCTCGGTCTGTAGTTTTTTTTTCCAATTTCTTTTTTTTGCCTTGCTCTTGACTACTTTTTGTAACGCCTTCATTAGGCCAAGTTTTAAATTATTAGACATAAAAAACACTCTCCTGGGAGACAATTAGTCGCTTTAAAACAATCAGGATCCGTTATGGTGGGCATATGTTGCGGTCCTCCCCTCGTAGCCGCTGCCACAAAATGAGCAAATAAATCATAAATGTTTCATTCAGCGTAATTGAGCCCACACCCAACTGCGTTATCAACAACCACCCCTAGGAAGCCCCAGAGCGAGGCTGGCGGCACAGCGACCAGGTCGTTATGGTAGCACAGTTCCGTGAACAGCAGTGGAAAAACAATGTAACCCGATATGGTTTCTGTATGCGTAAGATTGTATTGTAGGCACCAAGGTGTATGCCCAATATAATCCTGTTGCTGTGAGTGCAGCTGGCAGAGCGAGTGCGAGAGCGAGAGAGCGAGAGTTTAAGGGGTTGACAGGCTGGCTCCTCCTACCCGCTGTGCGTGCGGAACACAATGGAATGAAACAACAGACCGTTCTTAAAAGACAAAACGAAACGAAACAAAACTTATTTAAAGAGTTGTACAATTTGAGAAAATCGTGAGAAAAGCGTGAGAAAAGAGTGAGAAATCATACATCCTTGGCGAACCGTCGCACATTGCGATAGTTGACATTAATCAGACGTAGGCTGCCGCCCAAAGTGGCCAACGGCTTCATAAAGTTGTCCAAGGTGTCCGCCAGCGGTTCCATAATGTCACGCAGCGAGCACATCACATTATATAAAAATATCATGGGCGGCTGCAGGAAGCCATTGAAGGCAACGGTCAACGCCGGCTTGACCAAATAGTCGGAGGTCGTATGGAGCAGGCCCACAATCAGGGTATTGATCATCGAGTACAGCACGAATCTGTAGCATTGCAGCACAAAGGCCACCACGAAGGCGACGCCAATGTGCAACAGGCCAAAGAATTCGGCCCAGAAGTGTGTCGCATAGGTGGTGGCACGATCCGCCAGCATGATCGAGTTAATCTTGGGATGTGTGTCCGTGGTGCTCAAGTAATCCGCACAGCCGTGCTCGAACGGATAGACACCAATGCAAGTGTGTCGGGAGGCGGCCTTCTTATTCCATTTGGGCGACGGCAGATCGTCGATGATATTGTGGGCATGCTGTGGCTGGCACTTGCACATGTTATCCAGCGAGGCGACAAGTCGCTCCAGGAAGCCGGGACGCTGCTGCTGCTGCTTCTGTTGGCGCTGCTTTTGCTGGTGCTGCTGCTGCTGCTGCTCCTGTAGGGCCTTTGCCGTGGGCGCATATTGTTTGGTTTTATTCGGACGTTGGCGCGGCGGCACCGCGAATCTGGTGCACTTGCTCTTGGAATAGCGCTGGAACTCAATGCGTTTCGGTTTGATTAGATGCTTCTCCGGCTCCGCGTGCATCTCATAGAGCACTCGCGACGGACTGGACAGGCCAGTTGTTGTCGTCGCCGTCGTATCACCTTGTCCTTGTTCGTTCTCAAACATATTGTACTGCGATTTGGTTGTTTGAAACAGTTCCGTTTCCGTTGAGCTGCTCAGTTGGGGCAGTAGCTTTTTTAAAGGCGATTGCAGCTTGGCCGTAACGCCCACATGATGTACCTGCACCTCAATCAATTGGGAATGCGACTGCGATGAATTCAGCTCGCCAGCATCAGACATTCCCAACTTATTATGTTACTCGTTTACAAATATGCCGGGCTTTAAATGACATAAGAAACCCAGCTTATGTACATTGGATATATGCAATACACATAATCTAAGCAAAGATCATACAGTCCCGTGTGGTTGGCGGGCTCCAGAATACCTCCACAGCATGTCATCGCTTGTCGTACAAGGCGACTAATCGAGACATACGGGACTTTTAATCCCGGACATCTGGCCAAAATGGTTTTCAACCGGGAGCATCTGTTAGCCCGGATAACGAGAGGTTAATCTTATCCTCCATTAAGTGTGATTTACCTCTATTATCAAAAAGCTTTCAAAGTAGCTAACCGATAATAAAGAGGACTAAGAGTGAAACTCAAATAAAAATAAATGTGTTTTTCAACTTATAACATAACGGATAATCCAGAATCACGGATAAACAAGTTTCAGCTCTAGTCTTATTTCCCACTGTTGTATTTGAAAGTGCAAAAAAAAAGTATCAACTGTCATTCCAGCATAATCTAACGAATGTCTGAAGTGCGTATCGATAGTTTTGTTATCGAGCTTCTGGAGCTTTGACAAGCTGATAGAGGAAAAAAAAAATCACATATAAATTATCAATTGTTCCGGCATTTTTCTGGTGACAAATCTAACTGTAAATAAGCAATATTTAGTGCCTTAAGTTATAAATACAGCAGCTGGCAAAATTGAAGCGCTTAAATGTTTTCGTCAGTCTGGAAAAGTGTGGCCACCAGCATTGAAACCCAATTGACTTCCTACTACTTTCGAGGTTCGTCCAAATTAGCAGCGCGCGGCGTTGCATTCACTGCGTCTGTTGCTGGTGCTGGTGCTGGTGCTGGATCATTAAGACGGTTTCTGGTTGTCCCGTTCTGTCGCGTCAATTGTAATCTATTGTCTTTAATCTAATCTATGTTTGATGTGCTTATTTTTTGCATGACGTTGCGCACTCTTAAACCTTTTTTCAATTTGCCTACTCGCTTTGCAGTGCAAAAGGTGAGGACTGTCGGTTTTAGAGGTATGCATAGCTCACTGGAGGATGTTAAGCTGGATAGCATGCAGGTGAAAATCCTGCCAGCTCTCCAGGACAACTACATGTATCTGATTGTGGACAGCAAGACGCACGAGGCAGCTGTGGTGGATCCCGTTGATCCAGAGCTGGTCATCAAGACCGTGCGGGAGGAGAATCTCAAATTGAATAAGGTGCTAACGACTCACCATCACTGGGATCATGCAGGCGGCAATGAGAAGCTCGTTAAGCTGTGGACGGGTGAACTACAGGTGTACGGCGGCGACGACAGAATTGGCGCAATGACACGCAAAGTTCGCCAAGACGACACTTTTACCATCGGCAATCTTAATGTGCGCTGCTTGTCGACTCCTTGCCACACCAGTGGACACATATGCTATCATGTGACTGCATCAAATAGCCATGACCCTGGCGCTGTCTTTACCGGCGACACCCTCTTCCAAGGTGGCTGTGGTCGTTTCTTTGAGGGCACACCGCAGGAAATGTACGATGCCCTGTGCGCCAAGCTATCCGCTTTGCCGGATGACACAAAGGTGTTCTGTGGCCATGAGTATACGCTGCAGAACATGAGCTTTGCACGCCATGTAGAGCCGGACAATAAGTGCATCCAGACACGCATTGAATGGGCCAAGTTGCGTCGCGCTTCGAAAGATCCCACAGTGCCTTCAACAATCGGCGAGGAAAAGTCATGGAATCCCTTTATGCGCGTACATGAAACTACTGTGCAGCAGCATGCCGGTGGCCAGACGAATCCCGTTATAACCATGGAGATGTTACGCAAGGAGAAGGATAACTTTAAGGCTTAAAATTGAAATTGAATAAACTTAAAATCAACTCGGTAAAGGGAACCAACCGCACAGTTAGAAATATTCTTTTAATACTCGACTGGCGCCAAAAAAGTTCGATATCGATTAAAATTCTATCGATATGTTTAAAATTGATCCGAATGTCAAACCGTCGGGGCGAATGGCAATGCTGGTTTGTTGCATTGCACCGCAATAAAAGAAAACAAAGAACGTCAATTCAGTTGGTGTTCTTTGAATAGAACGTGTTTATTTCATAATGGACCAGCTAAAAGGCTTACTTAAGTCCTACGAGGCATGGGTAGCCAAAAATCCCGATGTTGTCGGCGACTTCGAGACCACGGCCAAATGGGTTTCATATTTTGTGGCAGGTAAACTTTTCCTACTGAAACAACGGTTTTCGGACTTGGTGATGCAATTTATATTCATTTAGGTCGCATATCGAACTCCAATGTACTCTCCGAGCTAGTCTACACGTTATCCAATATGCTGGTCTTCTACAACGATCGCATTATCGACAAGGCACGTGGTGCCAACGAAAACGCCGTAATCCGGCTTCAGTCGGGCCTTTGCTATCGTCTAAAGGTCACGCTGACGACGCTCGAATACTGTGAGGTGTTTATCGAGATATCAGCGCGACGCTTGTTTGGCCAAACGGGCAAATGGCTGGTCATAGCGCTTATACAAGTCTTAAAGGCAGCGGGCCGTTTGTTTTTGCTCAAGCATTCCACCTCGGACATTATCACGTCACCGCCCATCGCAGCCTTAAACCGGCGTGCATTGAGCAAAGAGCGTAAGCCGGAGGCATCTGTTGCCCAGTCGGAGCATTCCATAACGTTTCAATTGAAACGTTCCGGCCGCCTTATACGCAAAGTTGAGGGCGCACCTCCCATACAATATCGTGACTTTAAATTGCATGTGGACAATGCGGATGCGGCCAAAACACAAATACCACGCGAGCTACTCCAAGCGGAGTACTTGTACATTGCCAAACCGCTCATCCATTTGACGGCCATGGGCTTGTTCGGTCAGCGCAGCTGGAAGCAGTACATGATCGCACTATCCCTTGATTTGTATAGCGTATATCTGTATCGCCAGCACAGGCATCTCATGTCCAAACAGCAGAAACTGGAGCTAAGCAGACGCTGCATCAATCTGTTGTACTTCCTCGTGCGTTCGCCCTTTTATGATAACTACAGCAAGACACGCATCGAACGAATTTTGGGCTTCGTGGGGCAGCATGTGCCCCTTGTCAAACTGGTGGCCGGACCCCTGCGGGAATACATTCCACAATGGCAGAACACCTACTTTTATCTGTGGTCCACTTGAGGCTATGTAACAAGTATTCCGTTTTAAGCTAAGACATAAAGTTACGAATGGATTAATGGACGATTTGAGCACATGTTGAGAGTAATTGATGGAGTAAGAAGACTGCTGCTGACGTCGTTTTTAGATTTCCGTCATGATGGTTTAGATGGTGAGATTTTTTAGCATGTTGTGTGTTTGTAGTATGGCTTTTTAAATTATATTTGGAACAATATTTGTACACATACATTAAACGATATTTTTTGTTTCCTCTTTTTTCATCTTACACGCTAAACTATACATAACAATTATTCAAATTGGCTACAAATCTGTATACACACAATCTGTCTCAGAACTTCAAGCTGAAGCCGGGACCCATTGCCAGCTGCCGCTGCGTTAGACCCGCGTTTAACACAAATCCGGTGCTGGCCGCCGTTGCGCCGCTCTTCTTGTTGCCCGTTATAATGCCCGAGGCGAGCTTTGCCCCACCGCCACCAACAGCTGCTGTTGGCATGGGTTCATCACGTCCCAGCTGCTTGAATTGCGAGCCGCCGGATGGCGGCTTTGGGGATGAAGCCTGCGCTTTGCGTGCGCCCAACTCGCTTTTGGCGGGCCAAGTGGGAAACATGGATGGATCGATGGGTAGGGGTAGCTCCTTAAAGTAGCCATGCTTAAGCGCCGCATCAGCAGTCAGTCTTTGTTTTGGATCGTATGTCAGTAGGCCCTGCAGCAGTCCGAGTCCTGCATCAGAGGTTTTGTCCTGAAAATGTTTGCGCAGCTGCGAGACCGGATAATCCGTGAACTGTGAGTTTTGGCTTAACATATTCTTGACGGCCGGCAGCTCCGAGTATCCAGGCCAGATTTTTTCGTTGGGTGTGCCGAGTTCCTAAAATAAAAAAATGAAAATGGAATCAAACAGTTCTAATACCTTTTAATTATACTGTTCATTACCTTAAATATGCGATTAAGCTCATCGATTTCTGACTTGCCCGGAAAGAGTGGCGCCATTTGGAGGAATTCGGCAAAAATGCAGCCCACAGACCACACATCTATGGGCGTGGAGTACTCCGGGGAGCAGAGCAGGAGCTCTGGTGCCCGATACCATAGCGTGACTACCAAGGAAGTGTACTTCTTAAGTGGTGAGCCATATTCGCGGGCCAATCCAAAATCACCGACCTTGAGAATGCCTTTGTGGGAGAGCAGCAGATTAGAGGTCTTCAGGTCACGATGCAAAATCCAATTGTCGTGCAAATGGGCGACAGCGAGCAGCAGCTGTTGGACAAGGCATTTGACTTCGCCCGGAAAGAAGCTCTGTTTGCGCTGTTTCATTGTTTCCATTAGGGATTTAAGATCGTGCTCCACATAATCCATGACAATGAATATCTTATCCATGTTGGAGCCAACGACAATCTCACGAACCGTCACAATATTGGGATGCTGGCCCTTCAGCAGCGTATTAATCTCACGCAGGGATGTTATAGGAAAGCCTTCTTTTTCCTTTTCCATTTTCAGACGTTTTAAGGCAACAATCTCGTTGGTCCGTTTGTCCTTGGCACGATAAACGACACCGTACGTGCCCTCCTCGATGCGATTGAGGCATTGAAACTCTTCAACCGAACGACAGCCCTGCACACCCGGATAATAGTTGGGCAGCGGTACGCCTTTGTCATCGCAGGGCGGCAATTCCTCAACAGGTGCCTTGGGCGGCTTTTCCGTGATGCTGGCTTCAATGTTGTCCAGCAGCTGCTGTTGCTGCTGTTGTGCCATGCCACGCTCCTCGCTGCGCGTGCTGCTGCTGCGCGAACGTTGCCTTTCGCCCAGGCTGCTGGCTGGCGAGCGCGAACGACTGCGACTGCTGCGGCTTCGGCTGCTGTGTCGACTATTGCTATTGCTGCTGGCTGCGCTGCTATGACTGCGCTCTGAGCTCTTGGAGCTGGCGGAACGTGAGCGCGCCCTTTGCTTGGGTGATTTGTATAGAGCGCCCACACTCAGTGGACTATCTGGCAGTGGAACATCTTCATCATCATCTGGCAGCTTTCGTTTTCGCTTGTTCTTCTTGTGCGGCTCCTGTGCGTAGCTACTTTCTGCACTGTCTGCCGTATCGCTGTCACTTTCCGCACTGCCGCTGTCCTCCTCGTCGTCCTCCTCCTCCTCCTCGGAGTCAGATTCTTCGCTCTCTTCGCTGCCCTCATCATTTTGCTTGGTCTGTCGCTTGACTTCCTCAGCTGTCTGCTTGATACGCTTTCTTCGCTCGTAATGAACGTCCTCCATTTTCACTTTTTGCTTGCGCTTGACTATATGAAGACCGGCTGTCACACTGGCCGCCACGGCGCTGGGACTGAGCGCATCACTGTGCTCGTTCCGTTCGCGCAGCAGTTGTTCACGACGCGCCTCCAGCTCCTCGCGTGCAATTTGCTTACGCTGGCGATTCTCTCGCTCGGCTGCCAGAATCTTCTCGCGCCGCGCTAGCAGCTCCGGATCACTGTTTGCTGTGCGGCGTTGTAGCACCGGATTTAGGGCTTCCTCGGCTTCGGCTCGTTTTTGTTGTTTGCTGCGATGATGCTGAGTCGCCGCCGCTGTCTCGGGACTGTCCAGCAGCTCAATGACTTGGCCATGACGTAGCTTATGACTGTGGCTGCCGCGTCGTGACTCGCGATCCTTGCGGCGACTATGCGACGGCTGGAGCTGCTCATAGTTCTCTTCCGACTCATAGTCTTTGACATATTTGTGCCGCTTGCTGAGCAGCCGTGAACGCAGATCCTGCTCCAGGCTCTCAGCATCCTTGGGCTGTTCGTAGGCATGTTTGACAGCACGTCGAGGCGGCGGCGGCGGCTGATCCACATCCACATAATCAACGTGCCGGCTGCTATGATAGTAATCGGTGCGTCCGCCCCCACGGGATAAGCTCATTAGTTGCTGATGATGGTGGTGATGATGAACATAACTCTGTGGCGGCGGCGGTAATGGCAGCTGTTGCGGGTAATGATAGGCATGGCTTAAATGATGCTTGGCTCGCTCACTGCGATGCTGTTGATGGTGCTGATGATAGCGCTGTTCCATATCCTCTCGTGCTCCCCGATACTCATATCGATCTCTTTCGCGTTCTCGATCACGCTCTCGCTCTCTCTCCCGTTCGACGCCCTCTAAACTGTTGCGCTCCTTGTGTCGACGATCGCGCGAGTGTTTCTTCTTCTCGCGACGCGTACTGGCCGGATCTCGGCCCTGGCTGCTGGCTGCCTGTGGCGGTTGTATGTACAGTGCGTCTGCGTCATGATCGTCTTCGCCGCTAAAAAAAAAAACCAAAAAGAAAGAATTTTACACTAATTTTGCTGCCAATTGCATAAATTGTTGAAGTTCGTCGATTCCACAAAAGTGTGCGACCAGGTTTTGAATGGGGGCCACGAGGCGCGCTCTGACTGTTCTAGCAGTTCTTGTAGTTGTTGTTATACATTCACTCTAGTTGTTGCTGTTGTTGTTGTTGTTGTTATTGCAGTGCTTGTCGTTGATTACATTTTACGTTGCCCGTCAGCTTCAAGTCTCAAGGCCCCATGGGAAGAGCGAATTACTGCTTGAACATTGGGTGGAAATGGACAATAATAATATAAAAAAAAACAACAACGCTTGGTGTAGTATATTAGCAAATAATACGAAGTTGTATAAATGCATTAGCTGTATACAGTGGATCCTTGAATATACATGAATAGTTCTTACCGAAATTCTTTAAAATTTGAGTTTTATAATAATTTACCAAAGTATTAAACATATACAAATTAGCACCGTTAATCTCAGCATCACAAATGGAACTAAGTTAATTTATCCTCAAAAAAAAAAAAAACAATTTCCGGTCGATTGTCCTTATAGAAATTATATAGGGGTTTACTTTTATAAAATGAACTAACTTGATAGATTCTGATTTGAAAATGCTTCTGTTTCAATATTATTAGAGAAATATAGCTGAGAAACAAATATTTTTCATGCGAGCGATAATTCCTTTAGCAAGTATACATATTACTTAGTACATCCTGCCAGCATTAACTCGTGTACTTTACTTAAAATAATAAAGACCTATAAGCAGAGAACAGACAGCAGTCTATATACTATACATTTGTGGTTGAAGGTGTGTCCATCAATGCGTTGAACAGTTCCAAACAAAATGATAAAGATATCCTTAGGAATATGTAGTATAAGTAGTTATATAGGCTTATTTTTTGAGTGTGATAATTTAGCTTGAATCCTAACGCCAGGTTTCTTCGCCAAAAGACGGTTTCTTCCCTCGATTTGAGTGTAAGAATTATTTTAAGTTGAACCTTTGTAGCTTTACACTCTTGTCCAAATATTTCTGATCCATTTGTGTTAATTTGAGTTGACTTTTTTGCAAAAAAATTGTAAAGAAAATAATATTATTTGCATAGATAATTACGTATTTCGAGTAATTCAAGGTTCCACTGTATTAATTACTTACCTGTCTGGCCTACCCCATTTGAATATGGCAATTAGATAAACAATTCCTTGGGGCATTGAGTTGAATTCAGATGGGCTGTAAAATGTAAACTTACGACTGCAAACTCTGCTAGAAATATATTTATAATAAGGTGGGACAAAAGACAAAGATTTAGATCTATATATGTATAAATATGCGTATATAGATGACAGGACTTGGAAAGGCATTAGCATTGTTATTGAACAGAAAGTTTTATTCGATTTACCGCCAGGCTTTGAGATCTTCACTCTCTTTGAGGTTTCACTCTCTCTCTCTCTCTCTCTCTCTTTCTCTCATTTAAAGGCTTTTGCTTGACTTTTCATATTGTGTTTGAGAAGGGGCCATGTCCTGGGCCTGCAGTTCGCTGCCGATTTGCCATTTTACACACTTGAGCTGCTGGGCACACTTTAAATTTGAATTTCATTTCTTGCGTTCAGCTTTTATAATTATTTTGTATTTGTATTTTTTGTATTTTTATAGGTTTTTTTTTTTTTAAGTTTAGTTTTAGTTGTTGGCCATCGCGCGCCTCGGTCATTTTGGGACAAGTACACACTTTTTGGCCTATTTGCAACGAAAAAACTCAAGTCAATTAAACGGTACATATGCAAAATTATGGTAGTCAATAAATTGGATTTTTTTTGTTTGTTATTATTTAACATTTGGTAGGCAATATACATATGCATATATGTACATTACATTGCACATATATTAAGCAAGCGAAAAAAAAGGATATGTCGGTGTGAGGGAATTCACGATTGAGTGATCTACAGGTGCTACAAAGTGCGCAATTTTTGTCTCTATTTTGTACATCTGTGACGTCACAGTTTGCAATTCACATGGCAAAACAGACGTACTTCAAATATGATTTTTAGATGAAAATGTTCGTGGTGAAAATGTGAATATAAAAGAATGGTTTAAATCAGAATAACGGACCTGCACAATGCGCAACCTTTTGATCAGTGAACCGTGTGGGGCATTGGATGATGGTATGTTTTACAGATTGCTTTTTTCTTTATTTGTAAATAAACATCAGAAAATAACGCTTTCAAATAGAAGAATGGTTTAGTTGCCGCACTCAATACACAGGAGCTCCCACACACACACACACACAGCCACACGCGCGCATGCATGTGAATGTAGTCGTGTTGTCTATGCGTGTGTGTATGCAGCAACAATTTTATATGATTTTCAATAGACATTGGCATATGCATATTATTTTTACACACCTGATATAGTGTCCATCGTTGGGGCTGCGCAGCTGGCCATCTTCACTGCCAGATGTATTGACCATATTGAATTGCGATTTGTGTGTAGATAATAATTAGATATTGCCTTTACTGACGCTACCGTTGCCCTCCCGTTTATATGTAGCTGCTGATTCACCAGTAATTTTCAGCAACCTGTATGCAACCTTCTTTAACGCTTTATGCCAAAAGTCTTGGCTTGCACTTTTTGTACATCTATATGACCTTCAAATTGGGTTTTCGGTGGATTATTACGTTGTTTTTAATAAAAATAATTACAAACGTTTGCAATAGCACAAACGTTTTTCACGCAGTCGGCCAGGGCTGCATAAGACAGGAAAAAATGGCGTCTGCTCGACGTTGCCATATTGTCATATTGAAATTTAACTGCCAGCTGTTGCCACAGCTGACTACGTTTTGTCCCAACAGTTTTCGGAACAATAGTCTGATAAATTCATAAGCAAAGTAGTATGTCTTTGTTCCGTCTACGGCGTCTGCAGCTAAGTGCCAGCATTTTATATCGATGTGCGAGCACACTGCCCAGCCACCAATCGGAAGGCGGGGAAGTCAGCGCGACAGTCAAGCGGATTCGTAAGGAGCTGGCCCAGGACAAACAGCAACTCAGCTGGCGTACGCCTATCGGTGACCGGCCAGAGGATTGGAATAGTAAATTGAAATTGTTTTCCAACTCGGAACAAAACTCCGATTTCATAGTCATGATGCAGCGGCCCATCGATCTGAGTCCCAAGAACATGAAAGAATGGTGGAATAAACGCCAGGAGCGCATTGAGCGACACATGCAACAGTTTGTGCCCGAACGCCATAAGATACTTGGTCCCGAGCTGGCCGCCGCACATTTTGTCTTATATCGCGGTGGTGCTGCCAAGTTCTTGAACGACAATCGCTGGCATCGAGCTTCTGAGGACGGCGAGTTCAATCTACCAAATAAATTCAATGCCAGCTTCAAACTGGAGGCGCTGCGCTGCGACAACATGCAGCTGTACTATGAGGGACTGGAAAACCTGCGCTGCTTGGAGCATCTAAAGTTTTTATCCTTTCACAATGTCAAAACCTTTGACGACTGGTGCTTGGATCGCATTTCCGGCGGCGATTATCCGCATCTAGAGGTTTTGGATATTTCGAACACTGCCATAACAGAAAGAGGACTAGCATGTCTTTATCGCCTGCCCAAGCTAAAGCTCCTAATTATTAACGATCCCAAGGAGTCGCTCGAAATGGAACTGGCCGCTGCTATGCTGGAATTGGCGATGCCGCCGCTTAAAGTCATAGCAGCAGACACCATACATGACCAAACATAACTATGTAGAAATATACTTTAATAATTTGTTGTTTACATATCACATCAGTTCGTTTGTGGCTTGGTTTTCATATAGTCAGCCTTGATTGCTGCGCGCTCCTCAAGTGGCGGCAGATAGGGTACAATTCCCTTGGCGCGACGATCACTGCGTACCTTGTTCTGCGGAGGATTGGATTTGTTGTAGTTGCACATGATATCGTGTTGTACATCAACATACCCAAAACTCCTTGCAGTTGTTGTAGTTAACAAAATAAACTTCACACTTTTCCCGGTCAAAGTTGTTTTTGTTTAGGCATTTGAATGACAGTTCTTGTTCCTGCAAATAAAACGATTATGATTTTCAGAAGATATTGATGTAGTAGCATGCTTACCTTTAGACAGGGATTGTCGCGTTCAGCATTAAGATTGCGCGGCATATTTTTAACTATTTTTATAATTATTATATAAAATATTTTGTTGTCTAGCCGGCAGACTGCCTGGCCACAGCTGTCTCAGATTATTCGGAGTAAGTTCAAATGAACGACTCACTGAAATAAATGAGTTGACTTTTGGAACTTGGTTCCGGAACCGGTCTTATATATTATTTATTAATTTTTGTTGCACTTAATAAACTAAACGTTAGGTATTAAGCTATTTATATGCATGTGATTTTATGTTTAACATTTTTTTATAAGGGAAATATGAATTTTTTACTGTGTAAATATTTTAAAAACTACATATACAATTCAACAATTTAGTTTAACCTATCCAACCATCGATTCATAAGTTTTGCATAGACGTTGCGCCGAATAATATATCCAGGGCTGGAAAAGACTTAAATTTGCGTATGCAAGTTAATTTTCGGTGTTCTTTTTGTGTTGGAGTACCCTTATTTTGCGTTCTTGTTATTGTAATCAGTTGAGGCACATTGGTACAATTTGCAGCTGCTTTTCGTAACAGATGTGTTTTTTATATATTTATTTTAATTAAAGTGTGAGATTTTTAAGTATAGCATAGATTTTTGTGCGTCTTGCAACGCAAACACAAGGCCTTATGATGGGCTCCAAAGATAAATCAAAGTTCAAGATATTTCTAAAGAAGCCACCAGGTAAGAAAAAAAAAAAAAAATTGCATCCGTACACCGCTTGCAAACAATTGCTTTACTTATGTGTATTTCTCTAGGCAATGCCGTCGAGCGTACATTGCGTCAAGAGTTTGAGCTGGAGTTGCGGCCAGAGCAGCCCATTGCCCAGCGCTGTAAAATGCTAAAGGAATTGGGCGACATGCATTTGCAGAACATTACCTTGGACGAGGTAAGAGGGCGGCACTTCTGTTCGCCACTTCAGCATTCTAATTGTGTTTCGCTTTTCCATGCAGACCTATATAACCAAGCTGTGGCATCTGACCAACGATCTCATTGTGCCCAACAAACCGGCTGAAACACGGCAGATTGCATTGAGCTTTTATAAGCGGCTCATTTCGACGCAATACAAAAACTTGACGCTAATGCGTGAAAAGTTCTTTCTTGTTATACAGAATCATGAGGCGCACGAGGATCTGCGACATCTACTGGAGCTGCTCGACACACTCACAGAAAACGGCAAGGATATTACCAATTTCGAGGAGAAGGTATCCGACTACAGTCGATATATAACATTTAATGCAATTAAGTAATATTGTTAATTATCTGTCACAGATTGGCAAATTTATGCTGCTCTGGATACCAGCCATCGCAGACGCCAATTTGCTGTGCCCATTCTTAGATATGATGATTAATCTTATCAAATTCAATGCAGCACACCTGGACAAAGACATTCTAGTGGGAATTGTGCAGTGGGTGGCATTTGTCTTCCACCTCAAACTTATTCGACTGATTGCATTTTTATCTTTTTGTTATTTTCAGAAATGCTTGCGACTTGAGCTGCACTGTGGCCAATGATGATATCGGACTGCAATGCTTGACGGTTTTGGAGATGGTCATCGGATACACAATTTTCCCAAGCGAGCCGCTGCACCAATGTATTGTTACACTCTGCCGCACCGTCAACAATTCAAAATATTGCCAAGCATCGTTCAAGGTAGGTGCACACTATTAGTTACTTCTTAAAAAACAAGGCTGTTGATATTTAAAGAAGAGCTGCAAAACAAAGAAAGTGGTTCGAACGGACCATCTGCCCCTAGGTCCCTTTTGTGTAGCTTGCTTTCCACATCCATAAACTCAGAATTTTGGTTGAAGCAATGCTTTGTCGTATATTTTCTAAATGGTTATAAAATAATTAAATATTGTCCGTTTTACTAAAAAGTCTAAATTTGATCTCTACCCAAAAATGGCATCAACCAGGTTATTTATGCTTTGGGGCTGAGACCTTCTTCAAAAGTGTTTTATTCTTGACCAAAACAATTCAGTTCGGGCTTCGGTTTGATTGGTTGTTTTCGGGTACTTCAGTCCAAGTAAAATATCGCCACGTAGTATTAAACTAACAGAAATTTTGATGACAACTTGTTGCCGATCACATCAAATGCTGGCTTATTGCCATTCAACTTCTGTGCCTGCTTGCTGCTGTTGACTTCCTTTGTCGTGGCAGGTGATGCAGTTGTCATAGGTTGCGTACTGCCTGTACTCTGCTTGAGGCACTGGAAATTTTCATCAATTGTACAATAGCGCGATAGCACATCGAAATACTGGCCTTTGGGGCAACTCAGTTCGATGGCCCGGCTGCCGATGCACACAAAATACCGACTGCAGTCCTGAGTGTGCGGCACCAATCGGCTACCTTCCCTGTCGCACTCCTGCAACATCTCGCCCAGCAGAGGCGCTGGCTCTCCGGGCTTGCATACACCCCTCGTATCCAGCAGGCAGCTGTTCACCCTTAGCTCATAATAGTAATCCTGCGGACACTGCTGCAGCACGGCCTGGCCCTCTGTGCAGCGATAGTAGCTGCGACAGTCCTCTAGATTGGCCAGCGTGGAGTGCTCCGGCAGTATGCAGCTGCACTGATGGGATGGCGTTATGGCCACCGGCAGGCAGGCATGTCGCTCGGCGTCAAAGTAGTGACCGTACGAGCACTTGACAAGTGCTAGCTCACCGCGACTCGAGCAACGCTCAAAGCGCGTACAATCGCCCAGCAGACGTTGCACGTTGTTGACGTCGGTTGCATTGCAGGTTCTGCTGACAGGTTGGGAGCATGCGCCCCTTATGCAGCGTTGCTCATAGCTGCTAAAGTGGTAACCCGCTGCACATCTTAATTCCTGATAGTTTCTGTTATGTTCCTTTCTACCCGTACACACATAGAATCTGTCACAATGTTGCTCATCCGGCAATAGAGTCCACACCAGCGCATTGCGGCACTGCCTTTCGATGGCCAAGTGGTCGCTTCGAGAAGTGGCTTTAATAGCTACCAAATGCAGCAATAGGACTATGATCAGTTGTTGCAGTTCTGAAACGTAGACAAGTTTTCGATAAGGTATCTCTCCCGCTCTATCACTGATATTTGTATGTAGTATGTAATCCGAATGCGACTTACTGCTCTTCATCTGGGATCTGTGTGTTTTTATTTGTATGCCTGGAGAATTGAATGGAATGCCTCGCAGCTTTGATGTCGGCTCTACTTTTATGGTACTAGACGGGCTATGAATTTATCAGTTCATTTCCGATGGAAACCAGTTAACACAAGGGTTACAATTTGTTTCCTTATGCTAATGAAATTCTGATTGTTAGTCAACGTTTTCTTATGCCTTATCTGATCCGTTTCGGCTGTTTACAATTTCTTATCTAGCGTGATAATTAATCAGCATAAACAACAATATAAATGAATGAATTCCCCAATGATTGCCGACTCCCAAAATGTGTATCATCATCATGCACAAGGTAATGTCATCATACTATCTGGGTCGAGAATATGATTCACTTTTAAACTTTACACATTGTCCCAAAAAGCAACCGAAATGCATTGACAAAACAGTTTAATCATGCTCCCATCTAAAATCTAAGATGTATCTGGTCTTAGTTTATATATATACAAATAACATATATCCAATTCATTTTGAAACTAAATTTATAGATTTTCTTTTACCGAGACCGGGTCTATATGCATTTCAAGCCTGGCGAATGGTTTACAACTTCTTAGTTAGTCAGCAACGTATCAAGCGTAATAGCAGCTAATTAAATCCTTGGGCATGCAGCGCAGGCCATCGAAACCACGTTGGGCAATCTTGAAGACGGCCGCCCGAGTGCCGTATTCCATGGCATCGCGCAACGACATTTTGTTGCCTTGCATGGCATAAATGAAGGCGCCGACGAAAGTCTCGTGCTCGCCAATGGTGTCCAGAATTTCTGGCGGCTTGTGACCGCCCACCTTGAAGTAGGTATTATCAGGACCCAAACAACTGGCGCCCTCTTCGTAGTTATCGTATATTAGACAAGGCTCGCGCTCTCCATTTTCGCATTTAGCTGTATCTAGTTGTGGCTGATCTTCGGTTATATAGGGACTCTTCTTGGGCTGCATTGCCTGCCAGCGCTTGCGTGCCACCTGCATGAGTTCACGCACTGCCCACACAGTTTCCCGACCGTTCATATAGCCGTTTTTATTCTTGACCAGCTTACGTATAAGCACATAGTTCGCCAAGTCGGCCATGAGAAGGCTAAGCGGTTTCATATCGGCCAGATCGACGGACAACAGAATGTCCTCGTCCGGACTGCGTGCATTGTAGTCGTGCACAGCGCGAATCATGCGCAGCGTTTCCGTGTTGTTCCTCGCTTCAAAGTGTATCCAGGAGTATTTGCGATAGTCAACGGCGCCCACAAACTGCTGATAGGTGAGCTCATGGTCGCGGTTCGAGTACTCGACAATGGTGCGCGTCTGCTTGCCGCGCACAGCGACGATTGCCCGATGCGGCGGCTGCTGGGCCGAACGCGGACAGTTGGAAATGTCAATGCCCATGGCCTGAAAACTGGTCGTAATGCTCTCGAAAGCGGGCGCGCTGCTCAAAAGGCCAAGGAACTCACAGTCGGTGCCCAGACGCCTTAAAACGTTACAAGTATTGGCAGCATAGCCGCCGGGTCGCCAGAAACCTTCAGTGGTGCGATCTTTGGTGCCGGGAATAGGATGTTCATTGCACATAGTGATAACATCCAATGCACAGCGGCCTACCACAAGGACACGCCGCGGCGGTGGTGGTGGAGGTGGTGGCGGCTCTCGCGGCAAATATCGCACCTTCTTGACCGTTATGAACTCCTTGACAATCTGTTTCTTCATGATTTTTAAGATTTTATTATTGAATTTCCAAGCTGTGCCAAATAATATGTGACTTACAAAAATAACTCGATCAACTGACATATTTCACATAACAAGAAAGACATAAGAAGTGCTACTTCACGTTAAATAAGTTGGTCCAACTTGAAAAGATTGTTGAGGATATCTTTAAACACAAAAATGCTAAACATATCGAATAGTCGAGATTCCTTAGACCTTATCTGTATGTTAATATTATATATACATATATATATTTAGATCATGAAAAATCTGTTGGGCACTCAGCTTGGCTATGGCTCGATGAAATTGATGTGCAATATACTCAACGATAAGGGTCAATATGAGGATGCACAACTGTTGCGTGGAGCTGTCTTTCATCTCAACATGAACATCTTTGGCTCGACTATCATTTTTCAGGTATCCCCGATGATATATGCAACAAATGTGCTAATGGGCTTCCGGAATGTGAGTAAATGAAAATCAATTAACTCTGCTCAAATAGTTTTAATTAATTATTAAATTATTCTAGGCATTGGATAGCCACGAGGTGATTGTGACCTATGAGGTAATTCTCAGTGTGCGCATGGTGATTAGCAAATATAAGCTGTCCGAGATAATATGGGATCTGATCTGTGATATTATGTCGGCGATTGTGGACAACATTGAGGAATATGGTGCGTATTGTGCTGACTGCTGTGCTTCCTGCTGTGCTTCCTGCTGTGCTTCCTGCTTAATGAATCCAATCTTGCAGAGCGTTTGGGTGTTAATAAGGATCGCCTGTGTCATTTACAAATCAATTTTCACGAAAATATTGACTGCATTGAGAAGTTGCTCCAAGATGATCGCGCACAAATACTTTGCAATGTGGATCGTATTTATGATCTCATCGAGCGGGTCGCTGATCGCCGCTCGGAGGCCTCTGTGCTGGCCCTGATCGACTATCGAACCCGTCGCTTGACTGCCACGCGACCGGAATGGCTTTTGTGCTTGACCCAGTTCGTGCACCGATATTATCGCATGGCCAATGTGAATGTGCGCATCAAAACTATCGATGCGCTGGTGCAGATTATGAACCAGAATCGTTACAGCTATGAGGAAGAGATACTGGATCGCGTTGTTGTGCCACAGCTGGCGCAAATCCATCAAGAGCCCAGCGTGCAGGTACGCACGACGGTGGCTCGTGCGCTCTCTAACTTTGCAGCACATTGTGATTCGAAACGATGCTTGGAGCTGTTAGACATATTGGAGGCGCTCATCAATCGACCGTTCGAGCAGATGCGTCAAGTTGCAACAGAGGCGAACCCATCAGAGGCGGGCAACAGCATTATTATAAAGACTGAGTCAGAGATTGGCGATATTATAGCTGCCATCGATGGGCTTGTTGAGGTGTTTGAAATTAAGCTACATCGCCTGCCTGCCGCTCATGCCATTAAGATATTCAATATTTTGACCGATCATCTGGAGCTGCACTACGACCGGCCAAAGGTCTTTGAACGGGCACGCATTGTTCGCCTTAAGGTGAGTGGAAGGATAATAATTACATTTTTGCTATATCTCTAACCCCGTATATAATTACATTAAAGATATTCAACTGGATGCTCAAGGCACGTGCCAATGCCTCCTATCACATTGGCTATCCTGACAGCAGCACCGAAACCCTGAAGTTTAGCCACTATTTGGGCATCGACTCGCCATTGCCACCGCAAACGCAAACCACAACAATTTCAATACGACACGCCTGTAATCTGATTGTGCGCTGTCTGGAGCATGACTCTGATTACCAAGTTTTTCAGCTGGTCATCAGGGAGCTACCCAAAGTGCTCCAAAACAAGGCACTTATACAGGGCAACGATATTGAGAAGCTGGCCAGTACATTATTAAAAAAAATCAATGTCAGCGAAAGCAAGGATAGGTTTAATCGACCCACCGATGAGTTCCATGGTCTTGTGATGCCCGCAATCGCATCCCTGGTCATTTATCACGAGTGCTTGCAGCCGCAACACCACTTAAGCATCATTACGGCCCTGAACTCCCGCATACCAGGCATGGCCAGTGTCTGCATCAATACAATGACTATTCTGATATTGGAGACGCCCGAAGCCCTTATGCGCAAGCTGCCAGACGTTCTACTTGAAATCAGCAAGGTGTCCGATACGAATGCGGTGGCCATACCAGTTTTGGAGTTTTTATCCCGTGAGTGTAACTTTTTTTTGGCCTATTCCTATGAAGCAGGAGGATATTTTGTCAAACCAGCTGGCAAGTTTACAAATCCTTTAGTAAACTTGGCCTTACAAAGCGAGTCTGTCTACTGAAACAAACGATTTTAAAAATGTTTGCCTCTTATTCATCATTAATAATTAATAATTTGTGAATGTTTTTAACCTATTTGTTTTCTGTTTGATCGACAGTATTGATCCATCTATCGAACAAGCTGTTTACGAACTTTACCCCCCAGCAAAACATGTATGTGTTCGCCATATCGCTGCCATACACAAAGCCGCACAGATACGACCACTATACCGTATCACTGGCTCATCATGTGATTGCGGGCTGGTTTCTGAAGTGCAAGCTCGAGCTGCGTAAGAATTATGTTGGCTACATTAAATCGGTAAGTGAAGGCCTTGACTTAAAACCATTTGATACAAATAATTGATCAATTGATTTGCTTGTCCAAACAGTCCATGCAGTCGAATGCCAAGATGCTGAGCAATGATATAGTCAACGTGAATGAAGATTCCACCAGTCGCAAGCGTAGTACCAGTCTAACGGAGCGAGGCAGTCGGAATACCGCGACAACCCGCAACGACTCCGAGATGCGTCTGCTGATAAACGACACGTTGCGCGATTTTCATGCCGAGTTGGCTGAGACATGCTTTGATTTTCTAGCCCGACACACATTCTCGCCGTGTCCCTCCTTACCCAAGCGGTGAGTATGAAATTTTGTAGTCTAAGATTATTTTTATTCATAAATATTTTGTTTGCAGCCTGCCGGCCGTTGAGTATCTGCTGAAGGATGGTGTCTCGCAGACGTGGTTGGTGGGCCACAATTTGGTCACAATTACCACATCGGGCTGCCCATCGGGACCTACGCGGAACGGCCTCTGCGAACGCTGTGCGCAACTAGGCAAAGCACCCAGTATCAGTCTAAACTCGAAGACTCTTAACGATGCCACACAGCAGCCGCCTTTGTCGCCGGAACGGGAACGCCGCTACACCAAATTGAGTTTGCAGCATAGCAGCGGCAATGAGAGCGCCGGCAGCACAGATCATACAACATCCTCGTCTACATCGAATTCGGCAGCCACCGCGCATCCGCATCGGCAAATCTCAAACAGTTCAACAGTCTCGCTGGATGCATACTCGCGACGCGGCTCCAATCCGGAGGCTTCGGGTGCCAGTAACCTAGTCGAGGGCTCGCACACAGGCAGCAACACATCCCTATTGGGCAATTCCCTATCCCTGTCAACGGCCAGTGTGGGTCCGTCACCGCAGTCCGCTTCAGTTGTGCAGCAGCCAGTTTGTGTGCGTGCATGCACTGGCTGGGCCGAGGTCTATATAAGACGGCCAACGGGCAACATTTCATGGATAACGCGCCTTCAGAATCCCATCGCTAACGATTGCTTTGGTCAGGATATGCCCTTCAATAGCATGGTTTCACTCTTTTTACCCACTGCCTATGGCGGAGTCTTCGGCCCGGACAACCCCATGCAGCCGCTACCGATGATGCAGCAGCAGCCACAGACACAGCCACAGCCGGAAATTCAGCCAATGCCAAAAACAGAACCAGAGCCTACACCAGCTGCGGTTCCAGTAGCTACCGAAATGCGCAACCGAATGGTGGCCAAGGCGCGCGCACTGCAGCGACAAGAGGAGGTTCACTCCGTTAGCAATGCAGGCGGCGGCACAGCGGCCATTGACATTCCACGCTTGGCTGCCGCTGCCAAACGAGGCAAGGAAGCGGCGCTCAGTGGCAGCGTCAGTGATGGTGAGGCCGATGACGAAGCATTGGCCTTTGGTGATGGCCAATCTCGAGCTCGCAATCCGGTGCGGCGTGTTAACTCCAGTCCGGAGATGAGCTCCAGCTGGCGGCAGGCGTTCCTAGCCGCAAAACCGGCGCCGCTCTCCCAAGAGCCGGCGGCCGTTAAAGCACCCTTCGACGAGCCGCACCTTCCGTCGAAGAAAAAGACCGTTCAGTACAGCACCAAAGACATGCGTGTCAGCTGCGAGGCTATACCCGAAGAGATAGCTGGTTCGACGCCGCCGCAATCAGCGCAGGCATTAAAATTTCCGTTGCAACCGGCGGCTGGCACGCTGCCTCCAAAACAGCACTCGGCCGATAATGTCAGCAGCCAGGTGACGGGCAGCGGTGTTCAACCGGGCATGGTGCAGACCTCAGCGTCAGCATCCTCTCTAAAGCTGGGTGCCGTTGGTAAACCACCATTGTCACCTCAGGGGCCAGGACAGGCAGTAGTCGCTCCCAAGCATGCCGTCGGATCGGTCCTGGGCCTAGCCAAGTCCAACAGCAGCGGCAATGGCAGCAACGGAGTCGTCGCTGGCGGATCAGACTATAACAATGGTGGCGGAGACATGATGCGTGGTCGCTCTAAAACAATATCGGTTGTGCGCGAGGTGAACAATGGTAAAGCGCGACCACCGCCGGCCAGCAGCTTTCGCAGCTTTGGCGCCACCAAGCCATCAACCAGTGCCAAGCTGTGCATGAATCCCAGCTTTGTTTTTCTACAGTTGTACAGCACTGGCCAGCTGGGGGTGACGGAGACGCCGCTTAAGGTGGGCCCAGAGCAGTCAAGTGCATTGGCGCTGCTCGATCTTGTGCCACCATTTGAGACACACAGAATCGGCGTGCTTTATGTCGGTCGGAATCAGTGCAACAACGAGGTGGAGATCTTGCGCAATTCCCACGGTAGCACACGTTACGTGGAATTTCTAAGGAGCATTGGCACTTTGGTCGGTCTTAAGGAAGCCGAACAGAATAACCTATTTATTGGACTGGACAAGAGTGGGGCAGATGGAAAATTTGCCTACATCTGGAAGGATGACATACTGCAGGTGGGCAATCATTAATTCCAATTCCAATTGATCAAGCACTAAAACTAATTGAGTTTTGTTCGTTTTCAGGTCACTTTCCATGTGGCTACATTGATGCCCACAAATCTACAGGATGATCCCAACTGCAATGAAAAGAAAAAGCATATTGGCAACGACTTTGTGAAAATCATTTACAACGAAAGCGGCGAGGAATATAATCTAACAACGATATCGGTATGTCTTTAGCTATTACGATATCGAGCTACTCGATATGAATCTGATAAAATTGTATTTCAATTCTTTAAAGGGCCACTTTAACTATGCGTGTGTGATCGTTGAACCGCTGGAGCTTAACTCGAATCGCGTGTATGTCAAGGCACGCTCGGAGATCTCCAAGTTCGTCTGCCATTCAGAACCGCGTATAGTCTCTGATCGTAGCGCACCCATACTAGCCCGACAAATGGCGCTGCATGCAAATGTAAGGAAAACATATAACTTATCTTTATTTTCGGCATGCCGAATATTTAGTACCCTCCAGCTAGTTTGTATGGAATGCAGTTTGGAGCCATCCTACTATAGTAGACCTTTCCAGACGGCTCTGTCACTAAAATATGGATCTATTAAGAGTTTCATGATGATAGCTTTAAATCTTGCTGACAAGTTTTCATAAAAACTGACAGTGTGGATACGGATTTTTATGCTTCATGAGCTCTTGCAAGTAACCTCTGCCAGGGTATAACAGGGCATATTATATGTTTAAAAATGATTTGTATATATATGTTTATTGTACACAAAAACTGCTAACCTATATAGCTCGATTCTAACATGTGTCCCTTTGCAGCTGGCCTCACTTGTCTACCAAAGTGTGGAGAATACGAATCCCTATGCATCCAATTGGCTGGAGAGAATGCGCAAACTGAAGCGATTGCGCTCGCAGGTTTAACTAAATTAAAAGATAAAAATGAATGATTCAAAATTAAAAATATATTTATTTTTGTTTTAGCTTATTGAAAATCAAAAAAAGCAACAACAACAACAACAGCAAAAAAGTGGCAGCGCGTCCAGCGGCATTGGAATCGCCTCCTCATCGGCCGCAAGCACAGATGTGGAAGATCAGCGAGCGGATTTTACCAAATTCACATAGGCCCTGGACAGAGTGAAAACTATTGCAATAGGATGTTTCTTATAAGATGACCCATGTCAATAAGCTACAATATATCTGTGGACATTGGAATTCTTGGAATTCTATAGTTGTCGTATGCCTTTAGAGCTTCGGTTCCAACTTTATGTTTCCTTTTTCCTCCTACATATGTATAACATTAGCATGCACATATTTAATAACTTTATTTTATTTTTGTTTAAAATTAATTAATATACGACTCTGTCGCGTTGCTATATGTTCACCCAGTTCTAAGCTTGTCATACTTTTGGAGCTCTGCAATGTGATCGTATCCATAGTCGGTGATCTTATGCCCGGCCACCCGGTTAGCGAAACTCACAGCATCCTTCAGGTTATTCTGCATCACAGATGTGGCGTATATGAATCCGGCCATGAAGCTGTCACCGGCACCGAGCGTATCCACGATACGGTCGGGCGAATAGGCCGCCACCATGGAGCACCCATTTGAGGCGGCATCCAGACAAGCAGCACCAGTGCTGCCCCACGGGCAAATTATACATGGACTCTTCGATTCCAAGCGGCGTGCCAGCTCTTTGCACGTTTCCTGGGCAGTTCTCCAGCCCTGCTGGTTGGCGAGCTCTTTGGAGAACACAACATAGTCACAAAGCGCGCACATTGGAAGGTTCTGCTCATACAATGTCTCAAAATCTAATGAAATGGTAATGTGCTCGTTATGAGTTCTGTTGTGCTCCTGCACGGATCTTATCATTTTGATTGTTTCATTGGCGTTGCGAGCCTCAAAATGTACCCAGCCATAGCGATTGAGATCGATTTTGCTGAAGTCCTCCCACGTCACATAAGGATAGTTCTTATTGCAGTGGACAATTGTGCGCGAACCCGTGCCCTGGACAATTATTACCGATGAGAAGGGCGGATCTTTATCCGTCGTGGGACAGTGCTGCACATCAATGCCACGCCGTTCCAAATCCTGTAGCAGCACACGGAACCCGTCAGATTGGCTAAGCATGCCAAAGAACTCGACATCGGCGCCCAGTAGCCGCAGCACGGTGCTAACATTAGAGGCATTCCCACCACGCTGCCAAAATCCGTCGCGGCATCGTCGATCAGTGTCCTCCTTGGGAAAGCTTTCGTTGATTGTGACAAAGTCAATTACCGTGCAGCCCACGCAGAGCACTGGCTTCGCTGTGGCCATTCCGAGTCAACTGGAACAGTTGAAAGACGATTTAATCTATAGATTTCAATTGAATTTTTTAATACAATCTAATCGAATTGACACGCACACACATGCATACATTAACACATAAATGCGCATGTGTATATGAATGTGGACTTATTTGTTTCTTATCACAATTTCGCGACTTAAACGGAGAGCATATGTATGCGTAAGTACATCAAATTAATTATAACAACGATGAAAAATGTATAAGAAAAACCAAAAATAATGTTCAACATTCGTATATAATATATACGTTGGAAACCGATTACAGACCGATTACGTTGCGATCTTTTTCTTGTCGATGAAAAAGCTAAGCCGAGGAAAATCTATTCAATGCATCTCAACTTGGGAATACCCTGTAAACACACAAACGCGCGCCGACATACTTGCATGGATGCATATGCACACGCATACACGTTTAAAGTTAGCCAGCAGTGCCTCTCAGAGAGCGAAACGTCACGCGCTACGAATGTATCACCGAAAGAGAACGACGAAGTATGGACATGCGCACTGCGTCACCTTGTTTAATGCTCTCCATGCTTCCAGCTGTGGAGGTGCCTGTCGATCAGTTAACCGCTAGTCACCCGCGCGCGCGGTGTTCATTAGTTGCGTCGTTGCGCGTTGTTAATAGAAAATTCGCATCGTGCCAAGTGCTTCCTTTATTTTCGCAACTGGCGTAGTGTAAATTAAGGTGCCATATATGATAAATGAATCTAAAACACAATAGTGATTGTGACAATAAGCCGGTTGGTAAGTGAAAACACAAAAAAAAAGGAAAAGTTTTAGTTGTTTTAGCGACAATGTGTGTGGTAGCAGGGGGAACCGGCAAACAAGTGATGACAAATGTGAACACAGCTGTATATACATACATACATGCGCACATATGTGCATAAATACATAACACATAGCCTGTGTTCCAACATAACTAAACAATTAATTAAAAATAAAATTTAAAGTGCTCTAAAAGCTGGTATGTTCAGCATTTATGCACGTACATATGTATGTGTGCGAGCATATAATTACATACGTACATAAATAACGAACGAAAACGAGTTAAAAATGATGAGCGTGCTTACGTTGCGTCGCCACAGTGAGAGCGCGGGCAGGAGAGCAGCGCGCAAAGAAATGTGTGCGTTAAAGAGAACGGAAGAGAGAGAGAATGCACGCTCGATTGTCAGCTGGTTGTCAAGTTGCGCAAGTGGCCACGCAATATTGTGTGCATAGCACTCAGAAATACATAAATACTTACATACATACATAATGGCATCGATGTACATACATTTCCAATATGTACATGCCCACGAGTGTGTATTAAAATATATTTGTATTCTTAAATAATAGTTTTTGCGACTTTGTTTACATCTACGCCGCGAACTTGACAAAGATCCAAAGCTAACCCAGAACGCTTTTACGTACATTTGTATGCGCATACGAACATACATACACACATACATACATGCTTATATTCAATTCGAAGAGCAAATTTCGGGTCTCCGACAAGGCACGGTTCGAAAAACTCAAGCGTTCCTGATTCTTGTTGCAATAATATGCGAATGTTAATTAAAAATATAAACAAATGAATCAAAACACATACGAAACAACAATAACAATAAGGAAAAGATAGCCAAGCACACATAAAATGAACTCAATGTGAATTCAAAAGCCGATAAGACCAACTCTTAAGTCGTTTTATATATCGCAAATACATGAGGAATATAAGGAAAATATGCACAGTGAAAACTCTACTTAGAGAGCAGATATATCTAGCTCAATCTCTTTCCTTTCTCTGTTTGGCAAAGTGCACGATCTTGTAGCTTTCTTCGTTGCTTGTATAAAAAATAATGGGTATAATTAATAATCTTTATACTCTGAGGTATACGAATTATAGTATCTTCAATATTATATAGCTGTCACAGAAAAGATCGGTTAGGAATTAACTTCTTATATGAGTTATATTTTTGTTTCCCAAGATATCCTGATCAATCATCACATTTACGAGTTCTACTATGCTTCTTACATATAAGCATGCTCCTTACATATGCCATATCAACCAAACTGTATTCAAAAGTCTAATATTCTTCTAAGAGTGTGCATAATCTTCGGCTTGTCAGTTGTATTTTAAAGATCAATTTGCTTGCCAGTATGAATACTAAATTCAACTTTGTATAGAGCTCAAATACCTTTGTACCTCTACGCAGTAAGTGTCATTAGGTAAATTTTAAAATGAATACCCATCAACAGTCAGACAGTCGGACAGCCAGTCAGTCAGCCAGTGTCAATATCTCGTGTCGAAACGACAACAACAACAACAACAAATGCAACAACAACGTTTCGTTAATTAAAACCGCAAACTGGTTTTGGTATAAGATCAATATGCACAGCAAGTTGTAAAATAATACTTACACGGATCTATGCAATAATATCAGATGCGTGCAGAGTGAAAATATGAAAGATGCACTTTCTTTGCGTTGCCGAATTCGAAATACCCTTGCGAGCATGTGTGTATCTGGTTAAGAGTCAGCTTAAAGCCCCAAACATTGTATACTTGAATTCATGAGAATCACATAGAAAGGCGGTAGTTAATAGTGTGAGTAAGGGGAAGATTGATTGAGCATTAGTGTGTATTATTATTAAGATGATTAACATTTTTAAAATGATTTTGGCTACTAGAAATTAATTAATTGAGATGTGTTTTAACCTGAATACGTCGGTTTTTAATGTGATTTTCAGGAATCGCTTTGCAAACTATGAAGTTGTTTTAATAGTTCGTAAGTGGAGATCGTATCAATAATGAATATGTGTGTGCATTGAACATGCTAAATTATATCTTGTTTGACGCTTTTCGTCTGAGTGAAATACTTTTTTATTATTCTGATATCAAATTCGGACCTTAACCAGGTAGCTAAAATGGCATATTGCCAGGCACGCCGACAAGTGCATTTGTGTGTGAATTTTTCAAATCTTATCACACTGTTAACTGTTGTTTTTGAGCTTTACTGGGCAAAAAAATAAAACAAAAACGACAAAAAATGAATTGTTTCAGATAACAGTTTGGCTCTTTGTGTTGTTGCTGTCGTAGCTGTCACACCACACTCTATCCCCATTTTTGCGCCGTTTGTCAAAGTGATATCTTGCCTTTTTTTATTCAACTGCGACATGATTGGAAGCCCTCGTGTTTAATGATACTCCCGGGAGCTATCAAATGCTTGTAAATGCTTCTATTCTTCGAGGTTATGGGCACAACTCGGATATTTCGCACTGAATTCACTTGCTGCAACCAAGAAATAAAGAGAGCGAACATGTGAGAGAGAGAGGGAGAGTGAGAGAGAGAGAGAGAGATCTTTGATCTCTAATTTATCTCCATAGCAGCTTGCATGCATTTAAGTATTATACGAACTGTAGTCGCGATTTTGTGAAGAGTTTCGTTTCAGGAAGTTCTTGTGCGTTATCAATAAGCGCAAGCTGGTTCATCGCTAACTTCCCTTTAACACAGATAAGTTGAAGAATTGATGCATCATTTCAAAAGAAAGTTGGCGAATCATGTAGCCACCAAAGGCGTCATAAAAATATTGGAATTCCTTGTGAAGCCCATTTAAATGAAACATATTTCCAATATGTTATTCTCAAAAAAGACATTACAGTGCATGTTCGACAACAAGAAAAATAAAATCTCGTAAAATGTGCATTACATTATTACATCCGTTAGTAAATTGAAAGATTAAACATAATTTGTAAAATAACTTTGATGTTAACTTTCGTAACTCTCGGTATTTCGATTTATGAGGCGTCTTACTTTTTAGATAACTCTGAAAATCTTCTGTTTATGGATTCAGCATTCAATTGGTTCTCTTCAAGAAATAAGAGTGTGAAGCAAATTCGATTTGGAGTTAAGTACAGGGTATTATAAAGTATTTGCTGCTGAACCTAGACTATTTATTAGTTTTTATTTTCTGTTACATGCGAGTGGCCTAGAAATAGATTAGACAAGTCACCAAAATGAGATATCATTATCCACATTGGCCAGAAACACTGGAATGCCGATTTATATATTAAAGCACACGGCAGATAAGAGATATCGCTGCGAAGAGAGTGTTAAACTGGGCTAATAATATACTTACCTGTCATCTATTAATACCTATGTCTAGCTAACTCTCTTTGTCTGTTTCTGTTGTTTCAGTTAATTGGCAGCAAAATGAATGCCAGCAAAGAGACGAAGAGCACCGCAAAGGGACAAAAGAAGTTACAAAAGACAAATAAAAAGCAGCAGCAGAAGCAGCAACAACAACAGCAACAGCAACAGGCCATTAATGGCAGTAAAAACGGGATCAGTAAACCGGCCACGAATGCAAAAACCAAACCAAGCGATACAAAGCCCAATAATCGCAGCAACAACAACACCACCACCAACAACAACAACAACAACAACATGGTGCAAAATAATAACAATTCACAATCTATGATTGGCACAACTCCAGCTACGACGACGCCAAACATTACGCAAAAATTCAAGGAGCAGTACGAGGCGGAGCGGCGCGCAACCATGTCACAGTTGCCCAGCCTGGATACGCTGCCCAAAATGGAGCGTACGCACAGCTTTCGCGGCAAGCTGTCCCGGTTGTTCAATACGTTGACGGGCAGCAAGGAGAATCTGGCACGCAGCGACGAGGCGAAGGACGAGGCGGGCAAAACGCCGTTCACGTTTACGCGCAGCCGTTCGATGATCTTGCTGCGACGACCCAATCGGCGCAGCTTTATTGAGCCGATGCTGGAGCAGCTGTCGGAGGAGGCAGAGAAGTCGGGTGATCCCATGTCGCCGGCATCGCCGCGTAAGAATTCAATGGCTGAGAGCGGTGCGGGCGATACGTGTTCGCCAATTATGCGACGGCGTGCGGATACCGCCAGCTCGATTTCGACGCCGCCGCGACGACAGTCCACTCAGGCGCTGACCTCGACGCCGCTGGAGGAGACGGAGTCGCCCGCGCCGCGCAAGTCCCTGACGCCCGCCGATGCCAGCTACAATCCGCAGCTGAATTTTCAAAAGCGGCGCTCGAGCACGCTCATTGCCTCCTTCAAGAGCACGTTTAGTGGACTGACAGGCAGTGACAATGGCGAGCAGAAAAGAGAGAAAAAAGAGAAAAAGGAGAAGAAGGATAAGATGAATCCCAAGTGGAGCGC